TGACATAGATGGACACATCCCCGGAGACATGTCATAGTAGTCATGCTAATTTACAGTCTCCAAACGTAGATTTGTTATACGGTCAACGATCTAAGCTAATAATTATCATGACCACTATGGCAAAGTCCTCCGTGTAAGATGTGTTCACCAAGATCTCTTTTAATTGACTTCCTTTTCAAGTATTTATTATTTACATGCGTATAATCAAAATCTTGTATTTTAGTTTGCCGTATATGTATAAAATGACGAATGGTAGGACGATTTTGGGGCCGATATATTTAGCATGTCATCAAAGGACATTTAAAGGATATAAATATATATATATATATATACTCCGGCACAGGAGTTCTTTTATCTTTAACATTTGATTAGTGGATTGATTGGACATGTGATAATATTGTTGTCTTGAAATTCTATCTTATTATGAATATTATTTATATCTGAATCCTTCATAGAGATGTGATTTAATAAGTTGTTTATGTTCTTTGAGTTTCTCTAATCTCAATTCAGAATTGAGAGGACCGGAAGCAGAAGAACACTTTATTAGTTGTACCGGTAAATAAAGAACAATAAATATGAAGTAAGCACACGAGTATATTTACCTCAATTCTAGCTTCGCTTCATTTATAAATGTTCTTATTTGACTTTCATTGTAACTAAATTATTGGTAGGTATGCCCTAATTATACATACTACTTATTTTATATGGTTTTATGAACTGCTTTTTTAAATTGAGACGACCGTTTTACTTCCGGAGTTTGCCAATTGGTTTACCAGGCCATTATTATGTTTACTTAAGCCTATCATTTGTTGTAGTTGCTAGCTCTAACGTTATTTCTTCTACTGCTATAATCATTATATATAAAAATTCAAATTCTCTCTAAATCTTATCTATTTTGCTCATCCTTCTTGATAGGCCTTATCACCATTAAGAGATGCTGCTACTTCGCTTTCTTCAACTTTTCTGCGCACTGGTTCCTCTGATAGAGTGGACATTGATCCCGATCTTTCTTCTACATCAGAAATTCTCACCACCGGATCCATAAACGACTCTTCTAACCTCCTTGTTGATATTTGTAAGGCTGTTGGGCTGATGCGTTCACGAGCCCGCTTTATCCGCCGTCGTCTTCCAAATAACATACAGGAGCATCCATTAATCTTTGGTCCTGAGGTAGCTGCCAATATTGAGTTGGCATTGCGGTTGTTGGGAGATACGGTTCTTATCTTGTATGGCGCTGTCGTAAATGCTGCTCAGATGGCATCCAACCAAACGGTATTTTTAGGACTGTTTTTTTAAGCATATGTAACTACCCTAAAATTATCTGATAGTAAATGTTATCAACGGCCTTGTTTCACTATATGAAGATGAATTTTGCTTTGACTAACCTT